GCCACCCATAAAAAGATTTTGGTTTTTGGATTATTTTGGATTTTGGAAATCGGGATAAGGAAGACCCAGCCTGTGGTACAATTATATCTCAAAGTTAGGCAAATTTAGTAAAAGTTTGGATTATCATACTCATAGAAAAACAGTGTCACTTTTGAAGTGTAACATTTTTGCAGAAACTCCCAGGTAAAAGCAGCTTCGTCCTGACAGCATAGGTCCAACCATATTCCTTTGGGAGCGGAGGGTTGTCATGGTCCATGATGCAGTCAGATGTGGACCATGGCTGCTTAAGCAGGGCAAGCAACCCAGTGCCTGCCAGTTTTTTCAAATGCAACTCGGATGAGCCTCAGACAGCATGGCCAGTGGTCATGGTTTGGGGAACTGTAAATCATCAGGTTGCCTGTCCTTGTTGGAATTAAATTTGAAACTGTGCCTGAACTGTTGATCCCATGCCCAAAGCACCAGAAAGGGGAACCGGTTGTTGCAAAATAATGTGATGCGAATAATCCAGGATGTGAATTGAAAACTCAAGGAAAGTCGACAAAGTCTTCTACCAGATCTCTCACCATTGCCCCAAGTTTATTTCCACCTTCCTTCTCTATACATGGTGACTATCCCATCAGCGGGACCCATTTTGGGCATGATTGCCTGTGCGAAACCAAAACAATGGACATTTTCTCTTGAGTTGTTTTCTTTTTGCTGATTTGCCCCTTCCTCTTTTTTTCACTTCTATAGATACCGTATGTGTAGCATTCTACAGGCATGCTGGGTAAAAATATACTATGCAAATGTGTACAGTGCTGCATGTTTTGCTATCTATCTGCTTTTGGTGGCTTTCAAGGAAAACAAAAGTGTTGTTATTTTTGTGAGCCCAACACATCTAACAGAAGAATGTACAGACTGCATGCTTACAGTATCTAATTTCTATGGATTTGTTTTATGGAATTTAGATGTATTAAAACTGCGTTACCAACGGTTTTCTACAATAAATGAAACAAAAATTCTAGACTCGGTGTTTTCGTGACTGTTGGATTGTGTTGACTGTTGGAAGGGTAACGATTCTTTTCAAAAATAGAAGAAAATATCCTGAATTTATCATTACACATTGGCCTGAACCATATTGGTTAGTCCCAAACAGAGCAGACCCATTGAATCAATTGGGTGAATGTTAGTCAACATTTAGGTAAATCTCATTGACCTAGTGATCTAGTGTGCATGGGAGAAAAAATAGGATTCAAACCAGAAGGTGCTCAAGTTTCTGTTGCAGTACAGTAGGCATGTATGTTTATTGTCCACACAGGCATCCCCCTCCATTTTGTAAAGAAATACAATTTTGGCATACTCAGAAACAGATAGATTTGGTCAGAATTCCTGCGCCCAAGACAGACTACTACTGCAGAGGCAAGGGAGAAAAAGACAAACTTTGAATGAGTGCTACAGTTTCTGAACCAAAGTATTTATTTTTATCCACTTAGGTGCATTTCCAACAAGCGTGTCCCGCTTCAGAGCCTGGAAAGTAACTTTAAACAGTAACAGATCTAATCCCATGCTGAAGCCATTCATAAGAAGAGCAGCGGGAATATGGTGCCTTGGGACTGAGAGTACCATCCTCCCGCTGCTCAGAGAGGGATGGCTTCAGCATCTCATGGGATTCATTCATAACATTGACTTTCTAGCTGGGAATGGTCCCTGTGGAGGGAGAAATGTCATGTAATATTTATTCTCTTGAGATTGTTTGGGAAGGATCATGTAAAAGCTGATAGTTGAAGATTTGTGGAGCAGACATGGGGTGGGTTGGGGTGCTTTGGTTATTGCACAAGTGCTGTGCCTCATACATTGATTTGTATAATCTTCTCATGTTTTCCCACTTCTTCTGTATCTTTCTTTACTAAAGAAAAGCCACTAAAGGAGGGGGAAACAGCCACATGGCATATATATATATCTTCATTTCTCTCAGTAGGAGCTGTATAATGCTACCATGACTTTGCCCTCTGGAAACTGTGATAGAAAGAAACTAATGTGTGACTCATTGTAATGCAGATGAGAAAGTTCCCTTGGGCACAGCTTCTCCTGTCAAGTGAAGGTTTGGGAAGGGGAATGCTGCTGTCTGGTGAAACCTGATACAAATAAGGTGTCCCATGGAAAGGGTGCCTGAACAGTAAGCAAAACCTTCATATGGATTCAGCTGGACATTGAGTTTTGTTGTGTGCCTTCATTTCTGACTTATGGCGACCCTAATGTGACCATATCATGGGGTTTTCTTGGCAAGATTTGTTCAGAGGAGGCTTGCCACTGCCTTCCCCTGAGGCTGAGAGCATGCGACTTGCCCAAGTGGGCTTCATGACCAAGCCAGGAATTGAACCCTGGTCTCCAGACTTGTAGTCCAACACTCAAACCACTATGCCATGCTGGTAATCGGTATCAAGACAAAAATGACAACTGGTCTCTATAAACTACCAAGGCTTTTATTATATGATCACCCTACTACATTCACATTTTGTGTGGGGTGTGTGTGTGTTTAGATTATAGAAAATTTAACCTTCCAGCTGTAATCTTCCCATAATTTTCTACCACTTTCCTCATTCTTCCTCCCCAAAAGGAAAAAACCACTAGAAACAGAAAGATAGAACAACTGCAGTAAACCTTTTGCCTGGTAGTAGTGCCAAGAGCCATCCATTTGGAAGCTCCCAGCATCTCTGCTTTTTTGTGCTACTGTTAGGAAGAGTGAATTACAAGCCTTTCTGGCCGGAGGAAGCACATTTATACTACTGAACAAAAACATTTACAAACCTGACACCGTGTGGAATTCCAGTTTTTGTTGTTTTACAGATTTACTTCCCTTCCTCTTCTTAAAAATAATGTGCAGTTTCTAAGGCTGTTGTGTGAAGCACAGTGGTAGAAGATAGTCGACTCTTAGGTCTATTTCTCATGCTATCCAAAATGTTTCCACTCACTGCTACAGACTAACATCCATGAGAGAGAGGTAAAATGCATGGGATCCTATTCCTTTCCCTCCACAAAGCGGAGGAATGGGAGCCATGAAGACATTTTTGGAGGGGAAACTAGTATAAAGGGTTCAACAGTCTCATTCCCCCTTCCAGAATGAAGCCACAGTCAGGGTGAACAGATGTCTTAACCACAAAGGAGGACAAGGCATTGCAAAAAGTAGGACATTAAAGAAAAATGTAGGATGTGCCAAAATAAAAATAAGATAAAATCAGTTCTTGATTTCTTATTATTTTATACTTGATTCATATTTTGCAGAGACTGAACAAAAGTGAACTAATATAAATATCGATTCATGCTTCTTAGTCATGCTCAAAATGGAGGACGTTTTGGAATTCTTCCTGGATAGAAGGTTGAAATGTAGGGCATGTCCTGGAAAAGGAGGACAGCTGGTCACCCTGGCCACAGTAGATTTTTAAAAAGAGATTTTTTATGATGAATCACAAGACAAGACATAACATGATGTTCCAAACCAGCAGGAGAAAAAGGAAAATGTTATAAGAAAACTTCCAAAACTGCTCCTGGAAGTAGCGATTCTCATATCCGAATGGTGTGAGAAAATACATTATGTGTTTCATGTCTACATTTCCTTGTGTTGGGCACATTGGGTGGTAAACAAGACTTATTCCATCATTAAGTTGGGAAAAGCTAAATTTGAAGTGACATGAAAGGGAAGAAAATTGTTAGCCCTCAAATTTATTATTGGTCTTGTGTTGTGTGCTTCCAAGTTGTTTCCGACTTATGGTGACCCTAAGGCATCCCTATCATAGGGTTTTCTTGGCATGTTTCTTCAGAGGGGATTTGCCACTGCCATCCTCTGAAATTGATTATTATTAGATTTTTTTTCCTATCAGGAAGGTGAAGGCACCCTTTGGGTGATTACCAAACCTGGCCTTAACCAGTAAATGACAAGGAGGGAAGAGCCATTGACTGCTTCTTCTTCTGGTTGTTGTGTGCCTTCCGGTCATTTCCAACTTATGGCGACCATAAGGCGACTCTGTCATGGGGTTTTCTTGGCAAGGTTTGTTCAGAAGAGGTTTGCCATGGCCTTTCCCTGAGGCTGAGAGAGTGTGACTTGCCCAAGGTTGGCCAGTAGGCCTTTTTCTTCTCTTTCTCTAGAGTCAAAGTCCAACACTCAAATCACTATGCCATGCTGGATCTTCATTTACTTCCACATTGCAACAAACCATATGTTTTTGGGTAATCCTCATGGAAAACATGATGTCTACAGTGACCCTTAACTTCAAATAAGTGTCTAGGGCAGGGGTAGGCAACCTTTCCCCTTTAAGGGCCGAGGGACTTCAGCTCCCAGAAGCCTCAGCCATGTTGGCCAATAGTCCCATGTTGGCCAATAGCTCCTGGGATTCTGGGAGCTGAAGTCCCTCGGCCTTTAAAGGGGAAAGGTTGCTTACCCCTGGTCTAGGGTTAGGATGACAGCCATCTGATTGTTATTTTCTGTCATCTCTAATTAACAGTTGATGTCATAGGAAGTTCTCTGCAGAAAATTTACACGGACACTTTTCACATTATGGCAGTTGTATCCTGTTTGTCCAGTTAAGAGCTCAGGACTGGTAATACTAATAATAATTGGTAGGATTCGACAGATTGGAAGAGCAACTTGACTGTGACAACCATTACTTTACTTTTCTAGCTATAGCTGGTTCTGCATCCAGACAGAGGCTACATCTGCACTGCAGAAATAGTGCAGTTTCATACCGCTTGAACTGGCATGGCTCAATCTTATGGGATTCTGGGCTTTGAAGTTTTAGGAGATATTTACCCTTCTCTGTTAGAGAGCTCTGGTGCTACATCAAACTACATATCCCATATGTCATAGCATTGAGCCATGACAGTTAAAGCAGTGTCAAACTGCGTTATTTTTGCAGTGCAGATGCAGCCAGTCAACCTAGATTATTAGTTGTATAAAGCTGTTGTTCTGCCATACACCTCTGAGGCCGAGAGAGTGTGGCTTGCCCAAGGCCACTCAATGGGTTTCATGTCTGAGCAGGGATTTGAACCCTGGTCTCCAGAGTCCTAGTCCAGTCTCAAACCACTCTGCCACCTCTAATTAATTATTTTCAGATTTCAGAATATTTTTATATACATAATGGAGATAGGACCCAAGTCTAAACATGACATTCTTTTATGTTTTCTATAAGATTTCATGTTTAGACTTGGGTCCTATCTCTAAGGTATCTCATTATGTATATAAAAATATTCCAAAATCTGAAAATAATTAATATCCAAAACACTTCTGATCCCAAGCATTTTGGATAAGGGAGACCCAAGCTGTTTCACACTTTTATCTTGGTCTGCATTAATATGAAATTATGAAAAATATTATGTATAAAATTACATAAATTACTCCAGGATTTGTGTATAAGGTGTACATGAAACATAAATGAACTTCATGTTTAGGCTTGGGTCTCATCTCCAAGATATCTCAACATGTACATGTAAACATTCAAATATATATATATATATATATATATA